AGTTTGATATTGTTTGTGCATCTGTATAGGTAGATATCCATACATCCATCCCTCATCCAATCATCCTTCTATTGTGGATCAATATCATGGATAGAGACGTAGAAAAGGGCTGCACAGTTAAATAATAATAAATAAAATGATTAAATATTGTAATTGCAATTAAATTAGATTTGTGTGTGGCAGCTGCATGTACAATTATTATAATTAATAATAATAATAACAGTAATAATAATACAAATGAGCTTAAAATAAAAATTTAAAGGGTTTATTGCATTAAAATAAATAAACAAGTTATCATTCATTGTAAACTAAATTTTAAACATTTTAAATTCCAACATTGTTTGTGAAAGTCTAACAAAGTTAAATGTATACTCAAACCTGAAAAGTTGTGTGGCTCCGTTTTCATTTGATTATCATTGTACACTTGGCGGCGGCTTGTTTGTAACACTGTGTTACGACTAACCCCGCTGTGTATTACATATTTTAAGCCTAGCTAACAGTCGCTATAGGAATTGCTGACATTTTTCAAAACGGTGCTATGTTTGAGCCAACAAGACAGTGATTAAGGCAATATAAAGTTAGATTTGGAAGCGTATACACCCAACTCAGAAACCGAAAAAAAATCTATGATTAAAAAATTTACTTTCATGTTGTCAAAACACTCTTTGTCCAATATCTTCACGAAATATTATCAAAACCTTTCCGCAAATTCGCGTGAGACCGTCTTCTGGCAGCGAGAGAAAAATATCGTAAGCACAACCTGCTTGATCCTGACGAACTATGTAAACGGTCCGTGTTACATTTAACCCCGCGTTAGGTTGTGCCCCACGCTCCCCTACCTCAACCACTACACAGGAAAATCTACATATGAAGAGTTCAGATGCAAAAGCCTCTAAGTGCCATTTAAAATTTTCTTCTAAAATGATCATTTTTTATCAAGCTTGTATATTTAAGTTCAGTAATTTCACTTAAATGACAATGAAGATTACCTATTAATTTTCATTTAAGTGAAATTACTGAACTTAAATATACAAGCTTGATAAAAATGGTCATTTTAGAAGAAGATTTTAGAGGCATTGCATCTGAATTCTTCATATGGTCCCACTCTACAGAGTGTTAAAGTTACTCTGAAGCAATGTTAAAGTTAATGAGATGATTAAGTGATGATGGAGTATTAGTGATGAACACCTGCTGTTAACAAGCAGAATCAGGAAAGAAAAACACGAGAACCACAACTGACTTTTAGTCACAGCCTTAGATTAAAGGGTTAGTTCACCCAAAAATGGAAATTCTGTCAGTATTTACTCACCCTCATGTTGTTCCAACCCCGTAAGACCTTCGTTCATCTTCACAACACAAATTAAGATATTTAAGATATTAAGATCTCTCCTGTATACTAGTCCATAGGCTTCTTGAGGGAATGACTCTTGCTGTCCTCGAAAAGTCATTAAAGACATCGTTAAAATAGTCCAAGTGACTACAGTGGCTCAATCTTAACTTTATCAAACGACGAGAACACTTTTGTGCGCAAAAAACAACAAAAATAACGACTTTATTTCAACTATTGGTTTATTTCTCCCTCTGCGCGAGTCAGGTTACTAGTTTAATAGCGTAAGCTTCTGTTATTGTACGTCACACGCATCACACACACATGACCAGCGTCGGCCAATAGTGAGCCTACGTGTGACGTAGCTTTACGCAATCACACTACGTTAACTGACTACAGGCCCATGGAGAAGGAAGTGAATAGTTGAAATAAAGTCGTTATTTTTGTTTGTTTTTGCGCACAAAAGTGTTCTCGTCATTTGATAAAGTTAAAATTGAGCCCCTGTAGTCACTTGGACTATTTTAACGATGTCTTTAATGACTTTTCGAGGCCATCAATTGTCATTCCCTCAAGAAGCCTATGGACTAGTATACAGGAGAGATCTTAATATCTTAAATATCTTAATTTGTGTTGCGAAGATGAACGAAGGTCTTACGGGGTTGAACAACATGAGGGTGAGTAAATACTGACAGAATTTCCATTTTTGGGTGAACTAACCCTTTAAATCAGATGAAGATAAAAAGAAGACATTACATCTGTGAAGATCTCAGCAGAGGAGGATTAAACACCTCAAACTGCATTACCAGATTCATGTATTACTAACCAGGGGTGCGTTTCCCGTACAACGACGTAGTTCGCTGCTTCACTTCACTGTTTCCCGAAACCCACTGTCGCAAAGCATCGTTCAACCACGTTGATTTCGCACGTGGTGGAGCAATGACTACTTTTAATGAAACTGTTTGAGATCCAATTAACGCTAGATTTGTTTTATATAAATTACAGACATGTCATCTGAGGACTATTTCTAATTGTTCTCAGTTGTTCTGCTTTATTACCAGACTCAATATTTGACTCGTAGAGCACGTTCGCACATGCGCACTCTTCAAACGCGGTACTTTAAATATTTTGACAAACTAAAAGACGTAAATTACATTTGTATGTATTCTAAATAAAAGGCACCGGTTGTACTAAATGTCAGCTTTTTTACGATTTATTACCTCCAAATGTCGTGAAATATAGAAACGATGCCTGTAACCACAGGTCCAGAGCTCTCGTTCAAACCACACAACTTTGCGATGCTGTTTGCGAATGTTCGTTGGAACGATGGTTTCGGGAAACACCGACTCGTTAAACTATGCTGATAACGACGGGACTTGCGACCATAGTTGGCTAACGATGCTTTCGGGAAACGCACCCCGGACTGACCTTATTTCTGTCAGACATCTATGAACGGAAGTTTAGATGTCGATGTTTTAAAATGTTTGGTCACCATTATTGTGATCAGTGTTTCCTTTAGTTGAGCAGTTCACTCTAAAAAATGCTGGGTTGTTTTAACCCTATTTTGGGTAAAATATAGACAAACCCAGCCATTGGGTTACATTTTTAAATTACATTTTTTAACCCAATGGCTGGGTTTGTCCATATTTGACCCAAAATTTGGTTAAAACAACCCAGGATCCTTTAGAGTGTTTGACTCTTGGCATTTTAAGTGCAATTTTGGTCTTTGTAACAGTGTTGACCAAAGTACCAAAAATAAACAAATGTGTTCAAGCACACAACATTACAATAATAATGAACATAAACAACTTAAAGAGCTCTGACATGTACAGTACCAACCTATTGCTGCAGATTCATTTTGTTCATTGTAATAGCGTTGCCATAGAATTGCATGAATTCGAGTCTGAGGACGTGAACCGTTCGAGTTGAACCTCATGGGTTCATGTCTTAATTACAGTAATTAGGACATGGCATGAACGCAGCATAAGCTCGTTGTTGTTTTGCTTTAAGAGGAACTGTAAAAGGCTGCTGCTGTTTATCATGCTGATCACAGTGTCGGCCCAGATCCGGCCCACGCCTGGGCCGTGTGGAATCTGGTTTACCAGATGTGGGCCGGATCTGGGCCGACACTGTGTTGCTGTCTGTGATGTGGTGTGATTTCAGTGAGCATGTTCATGGAAGTGTGGAAATGCAAAGGTTGACAGATAAGTTGGACATTGTATCACCGCATTGGACCGACACACGGGCATAGCCATCAATAAAAGTCTGTCTTTTAAAATATATATATAGATATAAATTCACACATTAAAGGATTAGTTCACTTTTGAAAAAACTTTTGCTGATAATTTACTCACCCCCATGTCATCCAAGATGTCCATGTCTTTCTTTCCTCAGTCGAAAAGAAATTAAGGTTTTTGATGAAAATATTCCAGGATTTTTCTCCATATAATGGACTTCAATGGGAACCGGATGGTTCAAGTATCAAAAGACAGTTAATAACAGTTTCAGATGCAGCTTCAAATGTCTTTAAACGACACCAGACGATGAATAAGGGTCTTATCGTGCGAAACGATCGCTTATTTCAAAACTTATTCCAAAAATGTAACTTTTCTAAGGACAAATGCTAGCCTTGCTCTATTCTGTGAGGCGCGTTTGTAACGTCACGTAATACGTAATTACGTTCAAAAGGTCACGGGCGACGTAGCCGAAAGTACAGAGTCAAAATCGTCCGACATCGTTGTTTTTCCTTTTAATTCCTTTTTTTTTGTAAACGGCGTTTGAGTTAGTTTGCACGTTCAACCTATGCGTTCAACTTGTAAACACTGACTCTGTACTTTCGGCTACGTCGCCCGTGACCTTTTGAACGTAATTACGTATTACGTGACGTTACAAACGCGCCTCACAGAATAGAGCAAGGCTAGCATTTGTCCTTAGAAAAGTTACATTTTTGGAATAAGTTTTGAAATAAGCGATCGTTTCGCATGATAAGACCCTTATTCATCGTCTGGTGTCGTTTAAAGACATTTGAAGCTGCATCTGAAACTGTTTTTAACCGTCTTTTGATACTTGAACCATCCGGTTCCCATTGAAGTCCATTATATGGAGAAAAATCCTGGAATGTTTTCATCAAAAACCTAAATTTCTTTTCGACTGAGGAAAGAAAGACATGGACATCTTGGATGACATGGGGGTGAGTAAATTATCAGCAAAAGTTTTTTCAAAAGTGAACTAATCCTTTAAATTGGATTCCTCTGATATATTCTGATCTCAACTTAAAACCACTATTCCTACGTACTCTTTTCTCTTTACTTTACTTTTGTTACCCTCCACTTTCATTTTTTCATCAATGTGCAATTATGAATCTGCTGTACTTCCTCATGTTTGCCAATGCGGTCTCTCCTTCACAAGCTCTTCCAGCGGCCATCAGGCTGACGGATTCATTTCAAGGACCTTTACGCACACTAGAAAATCATCTATATTAATTTTTCAGTCTCTAAACTATTTTGCAGCCACGGTACTTTATAAAAGTAGCCCAAACCTACGTATCATTTTTACAGTATCACTTGCCTGTAAAACTCGACGGGGCTGTAAACGATGAGTCGTCAGCTGATTTTGTGGTTTCCAGAGTGAGGATGAAATGTTTAATGTGTGTGTGTGTGTGTGTGTGTCTTCACAGCTCCTCAGGACATGTTTGAGACATCTGAGCAGGGCGGCTGTCCCACGGCAGGCTGTAAGGGAGTGGGTCACATTAAAGGAGCCCGCTACTCTGGACATCACAGGTGTGTGTGTGTCTGTGTGTGTCCTGTCTTCAGCATCACTGCACTCCAAAGCGTGTTCATACATACACGTCATGAAGTGAAACACACGTCAGATGTAAAAACCTTTTCACAATTTAGGTTTTTCATGAGCTGTAAGCCATAATCATCAACATTATCAGGCGCGGATGATTGACAGGTGGCCCACCCAAACAGATTCATGAAAACTTTATTTCAATAGTCACTTTAGACATTCTATGAACTATAAGTAACTTTTCAACTACATGTCAGCTAAGTGCCATTAGAGTATTAGTAGGCTGTAGTTAGGTTAGGGTTCAGGTTAGGAGAACAAGTTGACTTGTAGTTGCGAAGTTACGTCTGTTGGGGGACCAACAAAATAAAGTGTTAGCAGATATTAAGCACACAGTATACTCTAATGAGAGTTAGTTGACATGTAGCGGCAAAGTTACTTGTAGTTAGTTGAATGTCTAAATTGGGCTATCAAAATAAAGAATTGGGCCCGTTCACAGATCGCCTCTTTTGCGCGCTCAAGTTTGTCATTTCAAATGTACGCTCTCGTAATGGAAGCAACGTTGTCGCGACAGACGTGGTCAGGCGTCTGATTGACTCGTCAAACGCGTGCGTTTCGACAGCCAAGGGACGCGCGATTTGCCTTAAAATATAACAGCTTAACGATATTTATAAAATATAACATCTTGACAATATTTAACGTTAATATCTATCGCATAAATATTTTTATGTATAAGAATGTGAATTTTGACAAATATTATGTCCAGAGCTTGTATTATTCGGATGTTCATGCCTATTCGACAAGACAAAGATTTTTATCTTCCCTTTTGTAGAACTACAGCTAATCAATCTACACTGAAATACAGAGGGCCTTCCCTCTGGGATCATTTAGACCCTGTTTTAAAGACTAAAATCACTATAAACTCTTTCAAAAGAGAGCTGAATTTTTCTTTTATATATAATTAAGTTTATTTTGTTAATTTGTTGTATTAAAATGATTGATGTATTGATTTATTGTCTTGCTTGATCATGTAATTTTATGTCCATTTTAATGAGATTATGGGGAAGTGGTTTTATAAGACCTCATGGTCTTCTTGTTTTTTTTCGTTAATGGATTTGTAAAGTTGTATTTTAAATGTTATGGGCAAACAAATAAATAAAATTTAAAAGCTCGGGTTCTTAGCGTGCGCTTTGTGGTCACGGAAAACGCGCATCGGAAACTCCCGGTTTTGCATCAAAACGTGCGTCCTCGACGTGTGATTTGCTATTTAAACGAGATTGTTTGTGTCTGCAGGTGTTTTATGCCTCAGAAGTGTTTTGTAACAAGAAAAGAAAAACAATTCTCGGTTTGACGTTCACTGTTTTTTATTTCAGCACCTCGGACGGTCCCTAATCCCTTCGTTGGAGACACATCTCGCAAATTTTCCAGTTGTGTTTCCAGTAACACTTTACAATAAGGTTTCATACATTATTTATTTGAAAAAAAATTATGCATAAACCACGAGTTTCTGACGCGCATGTTCCGTGACCAAATAGTGCACGTTAAGAACATGCGTTTTTATGGCAAATCACGCGTCCCGCATGCTTTTGGCGGGTCAGTGTGCAATCAGACGCCTGACCAGTGTTTATGAATATTTTGGCTTGCCATATGCATGTGATGCAGGCTGCATATATGCCGCGGCGTCGTTTATTTCAGTAATTCAACCTAAAAGGTGAAACTAATACAGTGGTGTGAATAAGTTTTGGCACCCATGCTAAAGTTGCCTAAAAAGAGGAATAAAAAATCATCTTTTGGATATTGATCTTAATGCCTTAATTAGAAAAATGAGGAAAACTCCAACCTTTAAGGACACCAATTTTCTTTGTGAATGAATAATGTATCATATATAAATAAATGTTTTTCCTTAAAATACAGGGTGCATAAGTCAGGGCACCCCTATGTTAAATTCCCATAGAGTCAGGCAGATTTTTATTTTTAAAAGCCAGTTATTTCATGGATCCAGGATAATATGCATCCTGATAAAGTTCCCTTGGCCTTTGGATTTAAAATATCCCCACATCATCACACACCTTTTAAAAATAAAAATCTGCCTGACTCTATGGGAATTTAACATAGGGGTGCCCTGACTTATGCACCCTGTATTTTAAGGAAAAACATTTATTTATTTATGATACATTATTCATTCACAAAGAAAATTGGTGTCCTTAAAGGTTGGAGTTTTCCTCATTTTTCCAATTAAGGCATTAAGATCAATATCCAAAAGATGATTTTTTATTCCTCTTTTTAGGGAACTTTAGCATGGGGGCCAAACCTTATTCACACCACTGTATTAGTTTCACCTTTTAGGTTGAATTACTGAAATAAATGAACTTTTGCGCCATATTCTAATTTGTCGAGTTTCATTAAGTGTGGCCAATAGAAGCTCAAGCGTGCCTGTGTGACATGCAAGCACAAACCTCTGTCTGAAAAGCCCTGAATATGATTTCCAGCAGCTCAGGTTTACTGGACTCCAATGATCACTGAGCTTTCTGTTCCCAGATCCGCCTGAGGCAAGGTGTTCAACACCTGTTCTCTCGATTTAGAAAGTCAGTTTGAGAGTGCAGGAAAGTCCATACGGATCAAAGCTCATATGGAAAATATCACGTCACTGAATTAAACACACTTCATATGTGTAATTTGTACCCTAATCCAGAAGTTCACAAACTTTTCTGTCAGCCTAACCCCTTGAAATATATTTTTTACGTAAAATAAGCTCTTTTTCGTTGTGCGGTGCATTTAAACTGCTGTTGTAGAAAGCCGGTCAAATTGAATAATCCTTCTAATAAAAATAACATTACATTTTACACTTTTCACTTCCCAACAATCCCAACATTCAACCCGTCTTCTGTGACTGGTGGGTCTCTCTGAGGACTGTGGGTGGTGTAGTTCTTCACTGGAAATTCAGCTAGTCAACACAGCTTATTAAACTGAGAGCAATAACTATTGTGTGTGTAGGCTCTGTGCCACTAGCGCACCAAACAAAAGTGCAAAAATAATGATTGTTTCGCTCCAACAGAAGGATGTATTAGGACCTGAGTTGCAGTCGGACCTGATATGATTGGATTCCTGAATGTAAAAACAAAATGAAATCAATGAAATGTGTATAAATATATGTAACTGTTTATGCTTAAAACAAGAAAAACATCTCCTAATGGAGTCAGAAGAATAAACTTTTCCATTTGCATGCTTTTTTCCTGACCCTTATTGGCATGTATTTTGTCTAGTTTTAATCTTCACTCAGTTCTGCTCAGTTTTCCCGAACACAAGACATTGTGCTCCTCCAGTACATGTGTCTTGCTCTCAGAATATTGCAATATTTGAACTGGAAAATGAGAAAATCACGTAGACACAAAGTAGCTAATGAACCACGATGATAGCAAGTGATGTTTGTAAATTGACCCATGCTTCCTGGTGTTTCAGTGCTGTGGGTTGCCCATATTCTGATATCAACCTCAATAAGGACTCGGTTCTGCCGGACCGCTTGAGCGGAGAGATGCCGGGGAGCGGAGTGGGTCGCCCGCGCAGAGCAGAACCCAGCGCAGAGACTTCAGCCGACGCTAATGAGTGAGTGCTCGTTTCTCAGAGGACATCTCTTTAAAGATTCACAAGGCCTCTATGATGGGGAACTGGGAAATATCGAGGATTATGACACAAAACCATGAGCTCAATCTTGCATTAATAGTTAAAGGAGTAGTTCACCTCTAAATGAACATTTCCTGATAATTTAGTCACTCCAGTGCGTTTTTTGAGGAAAACATTTTGGTAGCACTTTACAATACGGGTGCACTAATATGCATTAATTCATGCTTAACTAATGCACAGATAATGATAAGTTAATGTATAACTCATGAAGAACTAAACCATTAATTAATGATTACTGCATCAGCAACTAATAAAGAGTCTATATGATTAATAGATCAAGTATTACATGAATTGCTATTAATTCAATGTGTCATTGTGTATTAATTCCTTAATAACATATTTTATGAACTAATAGTGTACATTAGTCAAAGCTATGCACTTCAACTTCCACTTGTCTGCTTTAATTAATGATTAGCTAATGATTTGCAAAGGTATCATTTTGTTATGACTTTACTTGATGGGGCACATCATTATTAACTAGTCATTTAGTAATTGTAGTAATTTGCACATGAATTTTCAGTAACAATGGAGTAATTAATCATGTATTAATGCATATTAGTGTATCTGTCATATTATCTGGAAGTTAAAATACAAGGCTTTTGCTCATTTTGGTAATTAACATATTAATTGACACTATTAGTTAAAAAAATGAGTTATTATGGAATTAATCCACAATTACATATTTAATTAAAAACAATTCATGTATGAACTAATATATTAACCTTACATACTCTTAATTAGTTCCTAATGTGGTAATGATTAATGAATAGCTAAAATAATCATCAGTTACACATTAATTCAGTGTTATCTGTGCGTTAGTTAAGCATGAATTAATGCTTATTAGTGCATCCGTATTGTAAAGTGTTACCAACATTTTCAGGGCAAAACATTTTCATTTTTCTGACAAGAACAATCCTGACAAGTTTTCCTCAAAAAACGTAATTTCTTTTCCACTGAGGAAAGAAAGACATGGCATTGGGGTGAGTAAGTTATCAGGAAATGTTCATTTTGAGGTGAACTAATCCTTTAAGTGCGTAAGTTTGCACCCCCTGCGTGATGTTTATCATCATCAACATGACAAGTCTTCACATATCTTACACAGGACACAATAATAACACAATGAACACAAATCATCCTGTTGGATGGTTTCTGTCCTCTTGGTTCTTCTTGATGATAAATGACAGTGTGTGTGTGTTATGTGATAGTTGTGCAGGCTTTGTCCATAACTGAGTTGGTTTACATAGTCTTAGGCTGTTTCATTCTAACTCAGTGTCAGTGGCTTTTTGCGATGCATTAAAACTGAATGACTCCGGTTATAATTAATGAAGCTGTCTAAACTTTCGAGCTGACAGATACACCGTTTGAAAAACCTCTTATTATTACATCAAAGTCAGCTCGGGACGTCTCTGGGCTATTCATTTAGTCTTTTATGTTGCTAACCATGTCAGAGATGGAAACTCACGTCTGCAAACTTCAACTTAGAGGCTTAAATACAGCACACGACTTTTACATACTGTAGGTAGCTTACACTTACTTTGTAAATGGTTTTAGAGGAGAAACGCTCATTAGGGGGGAAGAGGTCGTCTGACTGACATGTAAAGCGACCAATAGCAGTATGTCACTACAAAAACAGACCAACATGAAACCATATGTCATTCATGCGAGATTGACATGAAATTATTAACAGTCGCATTTAAAACACTGTAAAAACAATTATCCGATTTTAATTTGTCCAAAACTAGGGATGCACGATATATCGGCCAGCATATCGGTATCGGCCGATATATGTTCATTTTTAATGTTTTCGTCATCGGCCCGGTAAGATATATATTAAAGCCGATAAATAATGTATTATTCACACTTGTTGAGCACTGTTTATGTTTTTGAATTTCTTGAAATAGGATTGAAATCTCTTCAAAAAATGAAAATACGGTTCGTTGCAACATGTGCAGCGCAAACCTGTCATATCGGCTATACAACACTATAATGAGAACATCATTATAATCGTGCACTTGGGACATGGATTTAATTGTGAGACTTTTGTTTTTGTAATCACGCTCTCAAAATTAGATAAAAATTTGGATTTAAGTTTATCGGCCGATATATCGGTTATCGGCTTTCAAATATAAGGAATTATCGGTTATCGGTATCAGCCAAAGTTTTCATATCGCTGCATTCTTAATCAAAACTAATAAGCACTGACTATTTCTACAGTTCAATGGCAATTTGGATGATCCTAATATAAAAGTACGTCGTCCAGCTGTGATGTCAGTGTCTGTACGTTCATATTTAACCCCATATGACGCAGAAATTGGCTGATCTTCCATTATAGATGTGAGATAAAACACAACTAATGATCAGGCTCTCAAAATGATATAAAAATTTGGATTTAATTCATTGGCCGATATATCGGTAATCGGCTTTCAAATATAAAGAATTATCGGTTATCGGTATCAGCCAAAATTTTCATATCGGTGCATCCCTAATCAAAACTAATAAGCACTAATTAGATTGGATGATCCTAATACAAAGCTACATCGTCCGGCTGTGATGTCAGTGTCTGTATGTTCGTATTTAACCCCATATGACGCAGATATTCCCTTTGCATTGGCTGATCTTCCATTATAGGTGTGAGATGACACACAACTAATGAAATCACTCAGACATCATTTCATATGATAGCGTCGATCAAGCTTTTTCACTGTATTTGTCCTTTATCTTGTAGGTAAACAAATCTCTCTTTTACATTCAGCTAAATGCAGGCCAAGCAAAACTCTCGACTTCAAATGAGCAACTATATATTAGTATACCCAGATAGCAAACTGACATTGAATCAACGTGGAAATATGACATCGAAACAACGTTGATTTGGCATTGTTTTGCTCATCGAATTAACGTTGAACCAACGTCAGACGCGCCATTCTTCAAAACTAACGGAAAATCAACTTGAAATCTACATTGTTTCAACGTTAGGAAAGCAAACCAATTGCGTCGATTTTCAGCTAATTTTGAAGAATGGCGCGTCTCACGTTGGTTCAACGTTAATTCGATGAGCAAAACAATGCCAGATCAACGTTGTTCCGATGTCATGAGAAACGTCGTTTCCACGTTGATTCAATGTCAGTTTGCTATCTGGGTAGCTTCCCAGACAGCAGCGTAGTTGTCATAGGGCCCAGATCCGGCCCACGTCCGATACGGGTGGAATCCACATGTGGGCCGACACTATCCTGCTATCTGGGCTACCAAATATAATTATGACATTTTTGGTGAGAAAAACTTTAATGACGTTCCAAGTGGGCAAAAATCTAATGGAAAATGCTTAATCTGGAAATTGAATATATTTGTTTATTATTATAAGGCGTGCTCAGTAAAGAGTACCACTTGCTCGTGCAAACCCAGATAGCAAACTGACATTGAATCAACGTGGAAATATGACATCGAAACAACGTTGATCTGACATTGTTTTGCTCATCGAATTAACGTTGAACCAACGTCAGACGCGTCATTCTTTCAAAACTAACGGAAAATCAACTTGAAATCAACGCGTTGTTTCAACGTTATGAAAGCAAACCAATTTTCGATTTTCATTTAGCTTTGAAGAATGCCGCGTCTGACGTTGGTTCAACGTTAATTCGATGAGCAAAATCAACGTTGTTTCAATGTCACGAGAGACGTCGTTTCCACGTTGATTCAATGTCAGTTTGCTGTCTGGGAACACATTAGCATAGTCACACTTTTGATTTGCTTATCGCGTCCTGACAGCCACACCTGAGGACGTTGTCATGCCTCTATTGATGTGTTCGTTTCTCTCTGTCTCCAGCAAACCCGTCACCCCTGCGCCATCTCACCCGGAGAAACCCAGCACGGCAACCGTCGCCATGGAAACGACTGTAAAGAAGCCTGTCGTCACAGAGACCAAGCGAAGGTTAGATTCAGTCACTCACTTGGTGAAAGAAAATCATTTCAAATGGTAAAATCGTCATGATAGTGTTTTGTCGTCACTGAAAAACAAATTATTTTACGTTGCAGGAATGAGTTTAAAATGTCCAGGGAAATAACAAATGCTTAAATGTCTGTATGCAAACAGAAGATCCTGTGACACACACACACGCAAACGAACACACACAGCTGTGCCTGACAGCGTCTAACAGGCTGATTCACTGTTTACTGAGAGTAAAATGATGCTTCTCGCTTTGCTTGTTGACATAATTTTGGAAATAAAAAAAAATAAATAAATAAAAAAACCTGTTAGTCAACAAAGCTTTATTTTCCACACAGCCTGTTGCGATGACTTGGTCCATACTATGGCTCTCTCCGTCGTCTCGGAAGATACACTCGCTTCGATTGCAGTTCTCCTCTTCAGCTGTTCAGAAATAGCCTTGAGAATTTTCTGTTTACTGTACAGAAAGGATTTGCATAATCAGCTTTATATTACACATGAATATATGCAAAATCAGACCTCAGCTCGAAATATTTGTGCAGATTTTGCTCAGCAGAAGATCCTTGTCTCTGAAACATCGTCTAATAAGCCGCTGGCTATGTTCAAGATGCAATACTAGCATACTAGCTCACGGCACACAGTGTACATTTTATACTGCCTACACAATCTGAAACTGTAAGCAATCAAATACTGTGGTCACATGACCGTACTTTTATGTTTAATACACAGACTGGTGTCCAGTTTTATATTAGAAATTAAAATGTCTGGTCTGGCATGCAGTAAGTCATTGCACAGATGTAGAAAATGACAGGGAACGGTCTCTGAGCTTTAGCTGTTGTGGCAAGGTTCTCTTGATGCTTGAATCTGATTGGTTGACGAACATTGTAAGCTGTACAGTTATTTTCAGGAAAGTAGTTCCAGCAGGTTTTGACTGCATTACAGCTCCATATTATCTTTACGTTATTATCTTTACAGCTGACAACAGCAAAAGAACCACAACGACACTGGCCAATCAGACAAATATAGTAAACAATAGGATAAAAACTAATTATTTCCAGGTTGTTTTTTTGCCTCAAAATTAAGTTTTATTATGAATTATGCATTTACTAGTTATTATGGAAAAGCACATCTCTCTTCTTCACACTCTCCCACTCAAAAACACACATATACAGTTCAATACTGACACACTCTTGTCTCAATAGTTTACAACTGTTTGCAGATACAGAAATGCAGATACACGTAGTTTCACTATTACTCTATTACGCTATTCGCTATTTTTATTATGCTGGTGCCAAACACTGTTGAGAGAGGTAATTCAGGTAATTCACACACGCTTAATCTCTCTCTCTCTCGTTCTCTAACTGCATTAGTCTGCTATCAGTGGCTTAAGCCTCCATTACTAGCTCTAAAATGACATTTTGGAATTAGAAACGGAGGATTGAGATGAGATGCGTAAGAAATTAGTCCCACACACAATAGCATTTTAAAAGGGACATATCACGCAAAATCCACTTTTTTAGCCCTTAAATGCATTTTGTTGTATATTTGGAGTGTTTATAAGTACAGAAAAGATGAAATTACTCTCTTCGTTTATATCTTTATATTCTGTTTTGGCCATATTTTTCAACCTGTTCAGATTTTTCTGTTCTCTATGACGTTTTAACATCACCGTATTTGCAGCGGAACTGACAAATAAAGACATTGACTACCGGTCCAACACTTCGAGCAATCCGCCATTATTATTTCTCGCTCCGATTTTGTAGTCCGAGCTCAATGATGCAGAAGTTACGAGAGGGCAAGTCAAAATGTTCGGTTGTTGGATGTAGTGACCTGAAGCACTTCAAGGATTCCCACTTCAACAACCTCCGCCAGTAACGTTATACAGAAGGGTTTGCCGATCGACTTTGTCTGAATGAGGGGTCAATTCCTTCTATCATTTAGCTGCTGTGTTTTCTGAGTTATATTATTATCAATACAGATTTTTAGTGGTAAGATGAGACCGTAGTCATTTATCTTGTCAGTGTGCTTGTTTTAACAAGAGAAATAGTCGACTTTCACTAATAACACAACATAGTTAACGTTAACTCGCATACCACTGCATCCATATGGAGACGTTGTTCTGCAGGTTCGTCGTCGTCTTTATCGACTCGCTCGCTCTGGCTCGAATATGTAAGACTTGATGGACAAGTCTTCTGTTGTTGACATTTTGTTAACGTGTGAATAAAAATGTTCTTTGAATCTATAGTAATCGTATATCTCTAATCAAACTACAATAATGGCCGAACGTGGGGAGTTGAACCGACCGTGAACTCATCGACCTGGAGAGCGGGCGGGGAAAGACGCAACTCCTTTTTATTTAAAGGGGCCGCTTTGAAACGGGTCGCTCACAGACGCACATCAGAAAAGGGGCTTGTGGAGCTATAATAATAAGGAATTCACACCCAAGCATCGCAGTTATGCTTATATAGACCACAACGGTATGATTTATAAGTAAAAATGAATGATTTAAAAGCATGATATGTACCCTTTAAGAACAAAATAAATCTTCTGAACAATATGTTTGAGGTGCGATAACCGTAGCATAAGCGGAAAACAAAAAAAAGACACTACAAATAAATATATGTCACATTTAGAAATATTCAGAAATAACGTTTTCGTTATTAATGGAACATAATGGGAACGTTAGAAAAGGGTAAGTTTGCTGGGATTCTGTTCTGATCTCATATACCTCTCTGATGATGTCGTGATGATGTTCTCCCTCAGGGTCGGTCGTCCCTGTAAAGTGCGTAAGGTGGAGGAGCCGCCGCAGGAAGAGGAAGTGGAGAGTGAGGTGTCATCAGTCACTGAAACCAAAGGTAGATCTACACCGCCATCAATAAACCTTTCATACTCTATTCCCATGCAAACACTGTTTCTTTATGGGTTAAATCAGGTGGAAGGGGTTACCCGAAGCAACAGAATCCGTGTCTGAAGCGTGTGAAACTCAATGTTGGGGATGTGATTGATTGGTATTTGCAGAAGAGCAGAAATCATTTCTTTCTGTGATGATGACTCACTGCATCTCGCTTTCTGGCTGGGATTGTGTCTCCTTCCAGAAGAGCTGGTCTCCCCCTCTTCCTCTCTAAAGGTTTGGTGGCAGTCACTAATGAGGAAGAGGCCTTTGTTCCTCGGCTTGAAAGCTTTTTAGCCGGAGAGTGAAAGATGTGTGGGTGGACTTGAAGCATCGTGGGCGTTGCGAGGGATTGCTCGAGACACGTTTAATTGTAATGTAAGAAAAAATGATGAGGACGTCAATGAGGAAGTTTATTGCAGCTTAGCAGTGTGTCAAAGTACTTGAAGAAGAACCTCGGGTCACTAAACTCAAACCCCAAATGCTGCAGAGACAATGAGTTTATTTTTATCTTCTCCCTGATAAATCAAGCTCTTTTAGTCGTGCACTTATTGTACTGAATGTGGAAGGACATTTTAGGCCAGGACATTGTAAAACAATTTTACAGTAATCTAGCAAAAATGTATCATTAGCAGGTGCTTTTATTTTAAGTCACTTGCAAATGAGGAATACAACATAAGGAGGCACAAGTATTCATGAGAGAATTAACATATGGCATCTTTAGAGCTACAAGCAAAGTGAGATGAAGAGAATTTGAGATGAGAACGAACAAAATCGGATCAAAGTCAAGTTTTGGAGTTTGTTTTGGGTGTTCGATAAGGCAACTTTGTGGGAAATCTGGTAAACGCCTTTGAACTCCCATTGGTTTGTGGTGATGATGTAATAGGTGGGGCTGAGGCTCCGCTCTCTCTTGGGTGTAAATCTTCTCAGGCTCATTTCTGTCGTCGAGGTCAGACGCGAGTAACATGAACACACCGGAGAACCGCTTTATAGAGAGCCTAAGTCCCGCCCCTCCGCTTCCGGCTCATGGGACCTTATTTCGGAAAAAATATGAATGGTAGTCAATGGCGAGAGACAACTTATCTTTTTATTCCGTCTGAACTGTGCCCTGAATTACACATATGATGTTTATCAATTTAAAAGATAATTCTGAAAGTTAAAAACGTCGCAGTTTGTCATAAAACAGAAGAGAAACATTTAGTTTCATGTGAAAATCGCTCTATGAACTACATCTCCCGGGAAGCGAAACAACGAGCGAGATCCGCTGCTCGTGTGTGTGCAGTCTGGTACAAAACACTCGTAACGTTGCGATTATAACGTAAGACTGTAGAAACAATGACGGACGTTAGCCTCAGTAAAGTTAGCTTCATTCATTGAGAGAAAATGTGCGCCTTTGGGGTTTGTAGTTTTTGTAATTACGTATTTTCACAGTCTTATACCTCAACGGTTTCACATCAAACGGCGACTTTCTTTACTTTAAAATGTATTTTTTAAATTGACAAACACCATATGTGTAATTCAGGGCACAATTCAAACGAGACCATTGACTACCATTCAATATTTTTCCGAAATAAGGTCCCATGGTGGTCGACCGGAAGGGGAGGGACTTAGGCAGTAGAAACTGAAGCTGTAATTGTGACTGACACTGTTTTTCATGTTTAATACAGTAAATCTGCTGCTTTACATAACTGCATACATAAACATGACGAGACTTGAGTGCTGAATCACCGCTGGCATTGTTATTGTGTGCTTGTTTTGTTATTGAGAGGCAAGCGCTCAGCACATATTCACATCTAAACTAGCTCTCATGTCACTGAAAAGGAAAACCTATTTTTACCCCAAAGCGAAGAATGAAAAAGAACTTCATCCTGGATCATGTGCAGAGGTTCAGTTGAGGAGCAGTGACCCAGGCCATGTCCACACTAATACGTTTTCGTTTGAAAACGTATATTTTTCTCTCCGTTTGGCCTTCCGTCCACACTGAAACGGCATTTTAAAGGTGCTGTATGCGACGTTTAGGGACCTCTAGCGGTGATGTTTCAGAATGCAACAAGAGCGCTCGTGCTCGTGCTCAATCTCAAGAGCGAGCAATCATTCACTCCCAGCCACACGGAGACTTTCAACGCAACGCGAAATTATCACACATGCTGGAAACTAATGTAAACTCCCACTGCAGATACAATAATAGCCTACTTTTATCAGCCTGACGTTGAAGTAATGCTCTGTGCTCGTACCATGATCATATAATATCATGATAATGTTACAATAAACTGCATTTAGCCGACATCTGATGTTATATAGCATAAGCCATTTCTCTAACTATTCGTGTATCTTTCACAATCAGCAATGTCAACATAGGTGAATGTATAATATGATAATGAAAACGGTTAGTGAACTAAACTGAACAGTTTCAGTGTATCAGTAAGATCGTAGGAAGTAACAATACCGTACTGAACGTGTCTAGAAATGTGTATAAACAATATGATAGTGGGATGACGACATTAGTCAGTACGTTAGATCTAGTGAATAAAATACGTTACATACTAAATGTTATACTAATGTTATCCTGGAACATTCTTTTGTATTCATGTAATGTTGTAGTTTACCTTGTCATTTCACATGAGTTTACTATGTTGATCCGCGTTTTCGTCCGGAGTCGATCAGATTCACGTTTTGCCTGACGAGCTTGAGCAGATAAAACTTTTTTTGTTTTTTTATATTTATGTGGAGTTTGTGTTGGAGTTTTGGGGGGTTATCAGACTCCATGTCGTCAGCTGAAGTGCCGTTGTTCGCATGATAGACTGTAGGATAGAGAGGCTCGGGACTCGGGAGCGCGCATGCACGTCACTTCTGATGGATTTCGCAGGAAATCCGACCCGGAGACCTCGCATATAAATAAGAATATTGGCCTTCAGAGGTAATGGCAAAACCCGAAAAGTGGATCGTTGCAATGTGTGATTACAACCCCTTCAAACACAGGCAATAAAAAAAGGATTCATTTTATAAAAATAGTTACATATAGAACCTTTAAGTCAACAAAAACGTATCGTTTGGAAAACGCTCTCCAAAGTGGATACATTTGAAAACGCCGTTTTCGCGTTGTAGTGTGGACAGTGAAACCGGAGGTATTTCAAAACGACGACGTAAGTTTAGTCATGTGATCCATTTAGTACCAATAGATATTCATGTTTATCGGTATTGTGCTATTCATTTTTACACTGTTGCTAAAATATGTTACTTTCTATGTTACTTAATATGTGCTATTCTTCATAGCACAGCACTGCTAAAATATAAATAAATATGACAGATAATGTACTTACATTTGCTGTCCTGCGGCAAAACAGACCTGCTGTCCTTGCGTTTTAGACCACACATATGGTGACTGAATGCGACCTGGACGCATCCGTGATGGTGAGATATTTTGCTAAATAAAATTATCCTGTTATTGTGCGATAACGTTATTATTTATTTTCTCATCGGTATCATCTCAGTGAGCTTTTGTGAAGTTTCACGCATGCGCAGTAAAGTGAATTTAGAAGTTACTTTCTCATCCACACGGAAACGTCGGAAAATGCCTGAAAACGCTAGTGTTAACGGACGGAGAACGTTTTTAAACGAAAACCGCGTTTTCAAATGTATCCGGATTAATGTGGACGTAGACCCAGTCTGGAGATGACGACAGCCAGGACTGGGGGTGTGACTGACACGGTTCCTCTAGAGCAGGGGTGCCTAAACCTGTTTGATTAGGGTTGGGGAGGCTTGCTCTAGAAGATACCCTGGATCTGGTGGATTATGGTGTCGTGAGCTGCTGACGGACCCACAGAATGAGCACAGATGGTTCGGAGGCCAGATGACCAAAAACCTTTAGATTAAGCCCTTAATGTTTTGGAGTGAACTGGCTTGGAGACTGTGAACATACTTGTGCACCTGGGCATATGCTTAAATAAGGTTAATCCAGCCAGAAATTGAGTGGAACTGTGGGAGTTTCTGAGGAAATGGGTCAATCTCACTATGCAGTGCATTTGCCCATAATGCTTATGACAAAATGTTAATTACATAATCACAATTAAAAGAGCTTGGAGTGAATATAAGGGGATAGTTCACCCCAAAACACTATCCTCATTTACTCACCCTCGTCTCCTTTCACAACAGCAGGACACAAAAGAAGATATCTATTCTGTCAATGTTGTTTTAATTGATTGTCGAACTGCGGTAATACTGTTGTGAGACATGAGACTTTAATATAGTAAATGCTTCAAAACCCAAACACTAAACTGTTTATGAAAATGAGGTAATATTATCGGTTTAACTGCACTGACACAATCAATTTAGAGAAAACTGAATTCAATTGAATAAAACTGAACTTAATCAACACTAAACTGAATTGATAGGCGTAATTACACAATTTTCTTCTGTAGAGCTGCATAGAGTGCCGAAGTGATGACGTCACTTTGTAGGACGACTCGGAAGCTAGCGGCGCGTGGGTTCCCTCGGTCGAAAAGCAATGCATTTTCCCCATAGACTTTTGGAAAATCGCAAAAAATAAGATCTGTGTTTAACAAAGGGTTGTGACCCTTACACGTTTTGTCTAGCAAGATAATCTTTACAAGTTAATCCAAAAGTTATACATTTTGAAGCCTATATAAAGTTTTTAAAAAACACAAAAAGACACAATAAAGTTTAAAAAACCACAAGCAGGTTATAACTGTGTTTTATATCATAGATCAAAACGTGAAAATATTTAGAGGCTCTGTTCACCACAGACCTTATTTCAGGCGATTTAGCAAAAACCCATTCAAAAATCCCATAGGCTTTAGAGCGAGGGAACTGCAGTGCTAAAATGCTAACTCACTTCCGCGTTTTGGCCGACAGAGTGACGTCGTAACTTCGGCACTCTATTACAGCTAAATTAAAGGGATAGTTCACTTTGAAATAGCTTAACTCAAGCGCATCCAAGATGTAGGT